GGCACATGGACGGGATACTTGACGTATTCCTTAACATGCACTGGATATTTCTTCTCTACAATGTAAGGCTGTGGCACATCGACTTTCACCTCGTAGGGAATCTGGTGAATCGTGTRAATCGATGAAGACACCAACTCTTTGTGTTTGGATCATACCGTCTTACCTTCTTCTCAACCGTATAAGGTACATGCTTGGTCACAGTGTAGGGCACCGGCACCTTCTTCTCAATGGTCACTGTCTTGATGTGTTCATGATGGTGATGATGGTAGTCACCGAAATGGAGGCCACGCTTCTCCACCGTCTTGCCAGCATCCTCAACCTGGCTGCCTTCTTCAGCCTTCTTCTCTTCGATGGCCGCACAATGGGCCATTGCCACGCACACGGCGAGACAAGGAAAAACGAACTGTAAAGGATGTCCACATAGATATATATTTAGAATAATCCTGAATACTCCTTAAACGGATCACAGATAACACCAGCTAACGAGTCTTCCTTTACCATTCGCATTGTTGAGCTGTTGCTTTGACGTCTCACGAGGAAAACCAATTACTCCACAATAAGCTGTGTTATACCAATAACGAGATCCCAGTTGGTACTGATTCGCTGACTCGCTGCACTCGGCTTTTATACACACCAAAAAATTGGTCTATCGCAACGCAATTCACTAAGCCCCAAGCCCCAAGCCCCCGCTTCTCTCCGATCTCCCGATCTCCGATCTCCAATCGGCGACCAACGACTACGGCAACAACTTTTTAGCTGCGGCACATTCGCAACTTGAAGCGYTTGTTGTTGTTGTCGTTGTTATTGTTGTTGCTGTTGGATTTGGCTTAGTAATGAACTGTTGAGGGGAACTGTGTGTTATATGAGCAACAACTTGTTTCTCATATATCGAATGGCGTCCATCCCGTTGGCCAAGTCAGGAGCTATGCTTGATGTGTTACAGCGCTGTCTTCGGGTCGTTATCCTATAACAATAGCTAGGAAATCGTTACAAAGACCCAGAAAGCTGAATGCAAATAAATATATATATATACATACACACACATACATATATCCGTATTAACGATTGGAATTAAGCTAGTTTTAATTCCAGTTATAGGCTTTATGTAATGCCAAAAGCCACCAGACATTGACATCGCTCTAATTCCGTTTCGTTTCGTCTCGTTCCGTTCCCAATTTTGTGGAGCCTGCGTAAATGGGATACGTTCAGGGGCATMTCAATAGACACACGTTGGTATCACAGTCGGATTATGTAAATCGAATGGCGATTGCATTTGTTTTCTTTTCCATTGACACGCCGCCAACAAATTGTGTGTGTGGTAAGTGGCAAAGGGGCCAACAATGAAGAAGGTTAAACCAAATGCAGACGACATTTGATAGCCCATACATCATAATTTGTTTACGCCTTATCCCCTTTTATCTTCTCTGCTCGCTCTTTGTCATGCTTAAAGCTCTTTTATTGGCATTGAGTCGTAAATCTGTCCAAAAGAGACTCCTATTGATCGAGGAGCTTTTATGTTAAGCCCTTAACACATTACCATTCATTTCGTCAACTTGTTATTTTTATTATATACATTAAAAAACGGAATTGCTGTTTATTC